TTTCTTTATGTAAAAAAAAAAAACACAATAACACAAAGAATCTTTTGTTGGGATGCTGCCACCATCCTTATAATTCTTCCATCTGTACATCTAACTTGCATACTTTAAAAATTTTCGATTCTTAAATAAAGTTTTTTTTTCCTTTCTGTGTGATTAAATTTTATTTTTAGAAAACAATGTATTCTTTATTCTTCTTCTATTATTTCTATTCTTGTTTTAATGTAGATATTATTACTAAACGAGATTTTTTTTTTGAAAGTGTAATTCTTCCTAAAAATATTATTATCTATTGAATAATATGCTTTCTATTTAAATAGATGTTATGTTTTTCCTTCTTTTGTTCTATTCATTTATCAATGTTTTATATAATTATTGTTGACCAAAAAGATGAAAATGTTCTATAAATTTGGTCAAAATGTTTTTTCCTTCTTTTGTTCTATTCATTTAGGGTTAATTTGCTATATAAAAAAAAATCAAATGGTAATTAGGAATATGACAAAAAATGGGGATTCCTTTGCAAAACATTTTGCAAATCAATGTTCTATATATTTATCAATGTTTTTTCTATCTCCATTTTTCTTATTTGTTCATTAGTTTCAGTAATCAAAGGCCAAAGTATAAAAACAATACGCCAACTTGTTATAGAACATATAGTATTGAATTATGAGAAAAGAATAACTATATATTTATCTCAATTTATTTGGATTCAAATACCAAAACGATATAAAAACCGATTAACTTGATTTGCAAAATACATCTATTTGCAATAAATAAACATATAAATGCTTCTTTGGACTCGATAAATGATCAAAGATATCTTCTTCATTTTTTGTTATGGTAATTGAATCCAAATAAATCTTTTTTGGAGAATGGAAAATCTCCCTCAACCGAAAATCAAACTAAAGCTAGACTCTCATTGACCACTCATTTGGAGAAACCTGATATCTCCATCATTTTGCATCCATAATGAATGAATGTCCATAATTGATTTTTAAAAAGATATCATCTAAAAGACAGATCAAATCAATGCATAGAAATGCAGTGGTAGCGAATAACCTGTCCACCAAACATAGAATTTTATCCTTTCAAATTTCTTACAAATATTAGTTGACTTGTTAAAGACGGAACATCTACAATACTCCAAAACCTTCGATTCTCTATTTTTAGAAATTTCACATGAAACTACATAGATCATATGAGCAATTAATAAAAAAAAAATTGATAATACTATTTGTGTAAAGAGAATATAATAATATGCGTATTGGACAAGAACATACGTAAGTAGTGGAGAGTGAGAAGAAAACAATGAAACTAGTTGTCGTGGTCCTACATGGATATGCTATCTGCGTAGTGATGATCTTCACTTCTACTTTGGACTCTTATCTCATACTTGCCATTTGCCAACTGCTTCCAAACATCAATGTCCCGTATTATTTAGCATTTACATATTTTAAATTATTTTATGTTTTTGTAAATTGTAATTTGTAAACGTAAACGTGAAAAACAAATTGTATGGTCCAAGCTTATATACATCTTTTTTTTAAAAGGAAAAAAATAGAACCAGATTAGTTATAATTAAGTTATAAATTAGTGTATAGTGGCACAGTAAATTTGGTATAGGTTGACGTCCCGCACCGTCCCGTCTCGCATTAAACAATAACAAA